CTGGCTAATTTTTAAAATTTTGATAGAGATGGGATCTCTCTATATTGCCCAGGCTGGTCTCAAACTCCTAGACTCAAGTGATACTTTTGCCTTGGCCTCCCAAAGTGCTGGGATTACAGGCATGAGCCACCATGCCTAGCCCATTCTTTCTTTCTTTTTTTTTTTTTGAGACGGAGTTTCGCTCTTGTTACCCAGGCTGGAGTGCAATGGCACAATCTCGGCTCACGGCAACCTCCGCCTCCTGGGTTCAAGCAATTCTCCCGCCTCAGCCTCCTGAGTAACTGGGATTACAGGCACGCGCCACCATGCCCAGCTAATTTTTTTTTTTTGTATTTTTAGTAGAGACGGGGTTTCATCATGTTGACCAGGATGGTCTCGATCTCTTGACCTCGTGATCCACCCACCTCGGCCTCCCAAAGTGCTGGGATTACAGGCTTGAGCCACCGCGCCCGGTCTCCATTCTTTCTTTTACACTCTTTATTCTCATATCTTTTCATTACAGATATATCAATCATCAATAAATATCCTTAAAAAGTAACTGTTCAAAGGGTGCTGCTTTGGAGCCTGTGAGTGAGAAGGAACCACTTCTTGCCCACTCCTGGAGGCTAAGTGTGTTCCTGCCCAGATGTCTCTGACCTCCTACCATTCAATACTCTGCGTTGCTTTCCTTTGTCCTCGCATTCTTGGGCAGAACAGACCTTTCTCTGCCTTCAGAAGCTGCCACTTGCATTCAGAGAGCTCTATTTCCAAACAACCACCATTCTTTTTTTTTTTGTTTTTTTGAGACGGAGTTTTGCTCTTGTTACCCAGGCTGGAGTGCAATGGTGTGATCTTGGCTCACCGAAACCTCTGCCTCCTGGGTTCAGGCAATTCTCCTGCCTCAGCCTCCTGAGTAGCTGGGATTACAGGCACCCGCCACCATGCCCAGCTAATTTTTTGTATTTTTAGTAGAGACGGGGTTTCACCATGTTGACCAGGATGGTCTCGATCTCTTGACCTCGTGATCCACCCGCCTCGGCCTCCCACAGTGCTGGGATTACAGGTGCGAGCCACCGCGCCCGGCCACAACCACCATTCTTTTGCTCCTTCTGGGTACTGGAGAGAAAAGGTTCTGTTCTTTGTGTTCCTCCCGACAACATCTTAATTACCTTTCCTGCTTAAATTGTGAGCAGCGAGTTCAGCCACTCTGCTAGTCTCCTAAGTGGCAAATTAAGACTAATTTAGACGGGGTTTACAGATGAGCCAACATGTGAACAGCGGAGAATGATTTGGTGTTCTCTGCTAAGATCCCTGCTCCCAGGTCACTGCAGGGGTGTGGGCTGTGCCTGGTCTGCCTCCTTCTCTCCCTCAGCTCCCACTGAAGACTTCCACCCTGTGCATGCCACTTCTCTGACACCACCCTTTATTTTAGACTCTCTAATGGTTTCTGGATTCAATTTTGTTGGACTTAGTTCAACTTGATTTGATTCCCATTTATTGAGTCTCCACAAAGCACCGGAATGAGAAAAGCAGTCTTGCTATTCAGAAAACCCTGCTAATTATTTTTTGCCTTTTCTGGAGAGCCAGGTAAGCAGCTGAGGGGGTCAGTGAGGCTGACTCTGCCCTGTGAAATGATTTCATGTGGGTCTTGGCAGCAGGACATGTCTGCTCAGCCTACTCTGCCGGTTTCTCTTTACTGCCTCTCTGGATGATTCATTCCTAAGGTGTCTGATACCAACCAGGCTTCTAGGAAGGACATTCTTTGTGGGACACGATTCTCTCCTATGGCTAAGATAGACCTGGTCAGCCTTCCCATTCACACTGTTTCCTGTCTCTGGTACACTCCTCCTGTCTCCCTGCAATTCATAAATGTCTGGCCAACACTACCTGCTCAGAAAGGCTGTCTGTGATCCCCTCCATAAAGGAGACACTTTCCATCACTCTCCGTGCCCTTATTCTATTTTATTCATCTTTTTTCTTTTTTTGAGATGGAGTCTTGCTCTTGTTTGCCCAGGATGGAGTGCAACGGCACAATCTCAGCTCACTGCAATCTTCACCTCCTAGATTCAAGCCATTCTCCTGCCTCAGCCTCCTAAGTAGAGTAGCTGGGATTATAGGCATGTGCTACCACACCCAGCTAATTTTTTGTATTTTTAGAGATGAGGTTTCTCCATGTTGGTCAGGCTGGTATCAAACTCCCAACCTTAGGTGATCCGCCTGGCTTGGCCTCCCAAAGTGGTGGGATTACAGGTGTGAGCTACCACACCTGACCTATTTCATTCATCTTTATATCACTTATCATTACCTCATATTAATACTATATGTGTATGTTTTCCTGGGATTTATTTTAATTTGAAGCTGTAGTGATTTTGGGGTCAAAAGTCATATTGAGCATGGGGTAGGCGGGGAAGCCCTGGCAGGGCCTCTGATGAGGCAGGAGGGTTTACAGATGTTAGCCTACATAGCTTGGCCATAGCTCCTGGGCTCCAAAGGTCCCAGCTGCTTCTGGTGTTCGGGGATTCTGGTTCAACTTCAAAAGTTCCAGGGCTTATCAGTGAAGCACAGCATAGCCACATTTGATCTTTAGAGTTGTTTATTTCTGCAGCATGGGGCGTAGAGGGCAGCACTGTGCTCCAGGTAGCTGCTGCTTTTCCGTTCCTGCCTTGGGGATGGACAAGCGGCCCCAGTAACCTCAGTGTTGATGGCTCCTTGGCCCATGGCCAAGAACTGTGAGTTTTTTGGAACTTGTGGGGCCTGGCCTTGGGTCCTCATTATTGTTTCCCTACACAAAGCAAAACAGGTGAGATGACCCTAGACTGCTTGCTGAAAGTTAGCCCTTTGGGATCCTGGTCTCTGGATCTCTCTCTCTCTCTCCCCTCTCTCTACCTACTTTCCATAGGATCGATCGATCCATCCATTCATCCATCCATCCATCCTCCCTCCCATCTGTCTACCCATCCATCCACCCATCCATCTATTCTCCCACCTATTCATCAATTTATCCATCCATCCATCCATCCATCCATCCATCCATCCATCCATCCATCCATCCACTCAGCCATCCATCCACTCAGCCATCCAGCCATCCTGATTTCCTTGCTTATTTCTCTGAGGACAGGGACTTTATCTTGTTTCCCATTGTGTCACTAGTGTGTAGTGCATGTTAGATACTGTACAAATATTTGTTGAATGGGTGAATGGATGGATGGAGAGAGACTCATTTCACCAATTTTTCTTTTCTTTTCTTTTTGTGAGATGGGGTCTCACTCTGTGCCCAGGCTGCAGTACAGTGGCATGATCATAGCTCACTCTAGCCTCCAACTCCTGGGCTCAAGAGATTCTCCCTGCTTAGCCCCCTAGGTAGTTTGGACTATAGGCATGTGCCACCACGTGCAGCTAACTCATCTCACCAGTTTCTCACTTATCACAGAGAAGTAGCCCATCTGCCTTTCTTGGCCCTTCCTTTCATGCCATTCTCCAAACTTCTTACGTCTTTATGGCATTTATTCATAGCCTTCCTTCAGCCTTAAGCTCACTTCTGCCAGCCAAGCTCCCATGAATGCTTCAGGCCCATTTTGACATGGGTCCTTTTGTATTATGCCGATCCTGAAAATCTGAATTAATCTGCATGCACACACACAAGCACAACCCTTGAGAGAAGGGTATTTGTCTTGTTCACCATTGAATCCCCAGAATCTAGCACAGTGCCACTTTATAAATGTGTTTTGATAAATAACTGAACAGACACCTATATGGCAGCAACGGCTGAATTCTGCTTGGCGTTATTGATGGTTATTTGTATATGTCTCTCACCAGCGAGCCTCTGGAGGTCAGAAACTGGGTTATAGTCATCTCGGTACTTATGCTCACTCATTGCTTCACTAGTAATGACAATCTTAATAATATGAGCAGATACCATTTCATGAACATCCGCTCTTTACTTGCCAGGCACTAGACTTCACCTACATGAGTTCATTTACTTTTTTTTTTTTGAGACAGAGTTTTGCTCTTGGCTCTTGTTGCCCAGGCTGGCGTGCAGTGGTGCAATCTCAGCTCATTGCAACCTCTGCCTCTTGGGTTCAAGCGATTCTCCTGACTCAGCCTCCTGAGTGGGATTATAGGTGTTTGCCACCATGCCCAGCTAATTTTTTGCATTTTTAGTAGAGATGGGGTTTCATCATATTGGCCAGGCTAGTCTCGAACACCTCAGGTAATCCACCCACTTTGGCCTCTTAAAGTGCTGTGATTAGAGGCGTTAACTACTACACCTGGCCTTTTTAAAACATTTTTTTGTTTGTTTGTTTGTTTGAGACAGGGTCTGGCTCTGCCACCCAGGCTGGATGGAGTGCAGTGGCATGATCTCAGCAAATTGCATCCTCCACTTCCCAAGTTCAAGTGATTCTCCTGGCTCAGTCTCCTGAGTAGCTGGAGCTACAGGTATGCACCACCACATCTGGCTAATTTTTGCATTCTTAGCAGAGATGGGGTTTCACCATCTTGGCCAGGCTTGTCTTGAGCTCCTGACCTTAAGGGATCTGTCTGCCTCAGCCTCCCAAGGTGCTGAGTTAATTTACTTGTCATGATCACTCTGTGGGATGGTTTTATCAAGTGCCTTTTATAATGAAGGAAACTATTGTTCAGAGAAATTGGACAACTAGCCCAAGGTCTTTTGGCTGATAAATAGAAGAGGGAGAATTTGAGCTAGGTATTTCTGACACCAGAGCCCTATTCTCTCTCTGCTTCTTACTGCTTTCTTCTGTTGGGGTAGGAAGGGCTCTTATAAAGTTATTTCAACTGACTGGACTTGAAAGTGGTTGGGACATCTTTAAACAGCCCTCATGACTTCTCTGCACTGCCGTCTCTACTTTTCTAGACTCAGTACTGCTGCCAACTGCACTGCCTGGGCTGTACAGCCCACGGGCTTCTCCTACCATTAGATGGGAGACCTTCCTCTCGAGTTCCCTCCAGCAACAACCACCCTGCAGGGAGCCACTGCCCACCCTCGGTGGCAGAATCCTCACCTGTCACGTAGTTCTTCAAATCTAGCTCACTGCTGAGAGGATTGTTGCTCTTAAACATATACAGGTTAAAGGGGGCTGGCTCCTTGCCCACATTTTTCCACATGGTATAGTCTGGAGAGGTCCATCGTCCTGCCAGCACATCATAATCACGCTGCGTGAAGTGGACCAGCTTGGTCAGGGGGTCATAGAGTCCCCCGTGGAAGCCAATGACCATCTGGAAGTCGGGGTTGGAGTCATAATAAATCTCCCCATAGGCCGTGTACTGCAGCTGTTTGATCATGAGGCCGTTGATGCTGAACACAGCCAGAGGAGTCCCTGTGTTATCGGAGGCAACGTAGTACTCCTCCCCACTGCTGCTCTCCATGGCAAAGAGGTGGCCTTGGAGGTCGTAGTACAGCGAGGTAATCTCTGAGTTGGAGTGATTGTAGACGTGGGTGATGCGTGTTGGGTTGTGGAGGTCAGAGTAGAAATATTGCAGGTGGTGGCCCAGGTTGGTCTTGTAGGAAGCCCGCCGTCCTACGCCATCATAGCGGTACTGGATACTCCACCCGCTGGCCTTGTTGTAGGCTCTTGTTAGGAGCCCCTTGGAATTGTATTCGAAGATGTCGGACCCTCTCTGGCACAGATAGCCATCATCATCAATTTTGTACTGTACATCCCCGAGTCTGGTTATCCGATCCCGGAGGTCATAGCGCAAGGGCATGAGGCGCACACTGTTCCCTGGGTTCAGTAAGTGGAGGTTCCCGTTGAGGTCATAGCTGTAGCGCCAGGTTGGGCGGTCATTGACGGCCACGCTTTGGAGCTGCCCATCTCCATCGTAGTCATAGGTGTACTTTGTGGTGTTGGCGTAGGGCCCCAGTTTTAGCTCCCTCTTGATCACCCGGCCCATGCTGTCATATTGCACCGTCATCCAGTACATGAGGGACCGGAACATCTCATACTGCACCTCCTTGATCCGCCCATGGGTGTCGAAGTGTTTGCTGAGGGTCATCACAGCAGTGGTGATGATCTGGTTGATGTCATAATAGATGACTCCAAACTTACCAAAGTGTTCCACCTTGCCAGAAATCTCATCATAGCGGTAGAGGTCCACGGGGAGGGGAGTCTCACTTATGACCGGCTTGATGCTTGCGATGCGGAAGCTGTTGTCATGATAGGTGTAGTCAAACCTGGCATTGACCATGCCTTCCTCGGAGAACCTGTAGATCTGCTTGTCCACCAGGGGGCCAATCTTCCGGTACCTGATGGTGCAGGAGAAGCCCCCGCTTTGGAGGTTGACCATCTTCAAGACACCCGTGGTCTCGTCATACCCGAAGGTGACGGCGGTACTGTCATAGACAATCTCTGATAACTTGGAGAGTTTCCCATACTTGTAGAACACCTGGCGTCCGGTGCCCAAAAAGGAGGTCTTCAGGATGCGGCCGTCATCACTGTAGTCGAAGATGACCGAAGCATTGCTTTCAGGTGGGTTGTAAATGTTGCGGATGTAGCCGATGGAGGTGTGTGTGGACATGCTGTGCCGGGCCACGCTGGGCATGGTGACGGCAAGGAGGCGGTCGGAGGAGTCATACTCAAATATATACTGACGCTGGCTCTGAAGCAGGAGGACCATGGACTGCAGAAAGGAAAGGGGAACAGAACATATCAGTTGGCTTTTGAGGACCAAGTCAGACAGAATTTCGTCCATTTCCCCAAATGTCAACTTAAAAGTCATGAAGGATGGGAAGCCTAGACCAGATTAAATAGATTTATTTCATTAGACATGCCAATTCTGATGGATCATGGTGGTTGCCTAGACCAGTGCTTCCCAAATTAAATGTGCATGCAACATATTCAGGATCTTGTGAAAAGGCAGAGTCTAATTTGGTAGATCTGGGGTGGGGCCTGAGAATCTGCATTTTGTAACAAGCTCCCGGCAAATGCTGGTGTTTCTTGGACCATCCTTTAAGTACTGAAGGCTTGGACAGCTGAAGTGAGAGGCATGAGGTGTATCTCCAATAACAAGGAACCCCAAGATTGCTTAGAAATGACTGACACTCGGCCCAGTAGGGGAGATGTGTGACACACATACCCTGATTACATCTAAAAAAGAGAAAACACATCCTGCATTTTTTTTAATTTTTGAGACAGAGTCTCACTCCATCACCCATGCTGGAGTACAGTGGTGCAACCTCAGCTGACTGTAACCTACTCCATCTCCCAGGTTCAAGCTGTCTCAGCCTCCCAAGTAGCTGGAATTATAGGCATGCACCACCATGGCCAGCTAATTTTTGTGTTTTTGAGACGGAGCCTTATTCTGTTGCATAGGCTGGAGTGCAGTGACACAATCTTGGCTCACTACAACCTCCGCCTCCTGGTTTCAAGCGATTCTCCTGCCTCAGCCTCCTGGGTAGCTGGGATTACAGGCGTGCACCACCATGCCTGGCTGTTTTTTTTCTGTATTAGTAGAGACAGCGTTTCACCATGTGGTCAGACTGGTCTCGAATTCCTGACCTTGTGATCTGCCTGCCTCCACCTCCAAAAGTGCTTCAATTACAGGCATGAGCCACTGTGCCAAGCCAATTTTTGTATTTTAGTAGAGATGGGGTTTCACCATGTTGGCCAGGCTGGTCTCGAACTCCTGACCTCAAGTGATCAGCCCGCCTTGGCCTCCCAAAGTGCTGGGATTACAGGTGTGAGGCATCGTGCTCAGCCACATCCTTTTTGAAGCTACTGCAAAGATGAAATAACCCAGAATCATTGATTCTTTGGGGGAAAAAAATGACTTCAATTAGAGGCCATTGAGAAATTCCTGCCTCCCCTGGTCAATCCTTCCTGTATTTTATGCATAATGAGAACAGCATTCAGGAAGGGCCAAGGGACAGCTGTTCTGTCTTGCAGAGGGGTAGGAGCTTTGTCTGCAAGTCACTGCTGTAATGAGTTGGTGAGAGAGGAAAAAATGGACCTGCACCAAGGGGAGTCCAGGTGAGAGGCTCAGGCTGAGCAAGCCCCTGTCTAATGACTAGATGGCCAGGGCAGCCTTCAAAAGTCTTGACACGTGCCCAAAGGGGCCTTTTTTTTTCCTACCACCACTCCAACCTGACCTTTTTCCCCGCACGAAGACCTGAATGTGGCACTTTTAGACACAGGGAATCATGTAGAGAAAATTCACTGGCTGTTTCAGCCAACAGGGAGAAGGTTGTTCTGTGTGCTTGAATTTTAGGAAAAATTCTCCATCCTGATGGCTTAATTTAGGGCAAGGCAGAAATCAATCACTGCATTTCCAATTCATAAGTAATGATGAGCTGCTCTGCCAGTGGGACGATTCTGTCCGCTTCAACAGCACTTTTTTCTCTTTTGGAATAAAATCAGACAATCTGTCCTTTTTGCCATTACTGAGTGTCTAGCACCCGCGCCCCAATGGTAGTAGTGCTGAGCTCTGGATAACGTTTGCCTTCAGATTTTCTTCCTCCCTGTGAGGGTAGGGAGCAGGAGGGAAGTCCTTGTAGTCTTAGGAAAGATGTTAAGATGTCTCATGGCAAAGCGTATCAGGCTAGCTTCCAAGAGCAGCAGGAATCACAGAAATAACAGAAAGCCCTTGCTGTCAGGGCAGCCTGTTCACCTACCTTGTCAAGGTAGGAGTAGCTCCACACCTTCCCGTCGGCGAACATGCGGGACACGATGCGGCCTTGCTTGTCAATGTCTGTCCTCTCGCTCATGGCCCCACGCTGAAGGCCAGCCAGGCGCCCGTTGAAGAAGTACGACACGTTGACAGCCGCCAGCCCGCTGCTGGGGAGCCAGAGGAAGGGGCGGCCCACCTGGTCATAAATGATCCTCAGGGTGAACTTCCGGTGGTCATCATAGATCTTTTCAGTCCGAATATTTCGATCATAGTCGATGGACAAGAGATTTCTCCCATGGACCTAGGAAAACACAACAGGCCGGGTTTGAAAGGCATCACCCAGGCATGCCGGCTCAGGCTTCCGTGGAGGACATGGCTGGGAGGGCTGGGGCATAAGTGGGCTTTGGAGAAAGAAAGAACCCCAAAGTTATTTAGAGTAGTGCTTTCTAAATGTCTTATGATGGCACAGATAGAAAATTGTAATATTGGCTGGGTGCAGTGGCTCACGCCTGTAATCCTAGCACTTTGGGAGGCTGAGGCCAGCCTGGCCAATATGGTGAAATCCTGTCTCTACTAAAAATACAAAAATTAGCCAGGTGTTGTGGCAGGTGCCTGTAATCCTAGCTACTCAGGAGGCTGAGGCAGGAAAATCACTCGAACCTGGGAGGCAGAGGTTGCAGTGAGCCAAGATTATGCCATTGCACTCCAGCCTGGGCGACAAAAGCAAGAATCTGTCTCAAAAAAAAAAAAAAAAAGAAAGAAAATGGTAATATTTGGCCAGGCATGGTGGCTCATGCCTGTAATCCCAGGACTTGGGGAGGCTGAGGTGGGTGGATCACCTGAGGTCAGGAGTTTGAGAGCAGCCTGGCCAACATTGTGAAACCCTGTCTCTACTAAAAACAAAAATTAGCTGGGTGTGGTGGCACGCGCCTGTAGTCCCAGCTCCTGAGGAGGCTGAGGCAGGAGAATTGCTTGAACTCTGGAGTTAGAGACGGCAGTGAGCTGAAATTGTGCCACTGCACTCCAGGCTGGGTGTCTGAGTGAGACTCTGTCTCAAAAAAAAAAAAAAAAAAACAAAAAAGAAAGAAAGAAAAAGAAAACGGTAATATTTATATAGTGCAGTAGAATATAAGGCAGCTTATGGGCAGAGACGACTGACCTGTGCATGGTTGTGATGGACCGTTAGGTAGGCAGTGCACTGCACAATTACAAAGGGAGCCATGGCATTGTAGAAAGTGTAAATGGTGAAAATTGTGCAGTGTGCAAATGATACAGCCATATACAATAGACCAGAACCCTGGAGTTTTGACTGGGCTGCCTGGTCACCCTGGGGGCAAGAGAGTTTGTATATTTGAACACTTATAACTCTTTTTGGCACATCATCAGCTGAGAAGCTAATGATCTTTAAGAACAGCTGCCGTGGATTCTTATGAAAGCCTAAGTACAGGTACCTAGAAGAGTGGAGAACAGGGCTTAGAAATCCATATGTTACAAAGGTCTGAGAATATGAAACCTCATTTCTATGTGAATGTCTTTCCATCTAATATCTAGAGAAAAATCTTGTCACTTTCAGAATGCAAGACATCAGTGGGGAGACCTTAGCAGGGCTGGGGGAATCCAACAAAGGGAAGAACTGATTTACTTAGATTTGAAAGGAATAATGGAACACATCAGACGTAATTTAATATTTATTTAGAAGTTGATCTGATCAGAGAAGAAAGCCCATCCCGGAAGGCAGAGCTGGGAGACTAGACTCTGGTGAGGGGCAAAGGAGAGGGACTCCTGAGATTCAGCTAGCCCTCAGTGGATGGCTGGAAGTGAATGAAATGAGCCAGACTCAGCCCAGACTCTCACAACTTCACTGACTGCAAATTCAGATATCCCTGGGGTGGCTGCTGAAGGCAAGGGATGATATAAACAGGCAGAAGGAAGAGACTTGAGAGATGTCTGGTACCTCCCCACTTTACCCTAATAATTCAACAGCACTTACTGATAATAATGATGATGGCGATGATGATAGTAATGATAATTGTTTCTTTTTGAGACGGAGTCTCACTCTGTTGCCCAGGCTGGAATGCAGTGGCGCGATCTCGGCTCACTGCAACCTCCACCTCCTGGGTTCAAGCTGTTCTCCTACCTCAGCCTCCCAAGTAGCTGAAATTACAGGCGGCTAATTTTTGTGTTTTTAGTAGAGACAAGGTTTCACCATTTTGGCCAGGCTGATCTTGAACTCCTGATCTCAGGTGATCCACCGCCTTGGCCTACCAAAGTGCTGGGATTACAGGTGTAAGCCACCGATAACTTTAATATATCCTGAGGACTAATATATACAGGCATCGTGTGACACATTTTTGCGTCTATTTTAAGACCATTTGACAAATGAAGAAATAGCTTCAAACAGAGAGGATACAAAACTTGCTCAGGGTTACACGGCAGTGAAGTGATTGGGTTGGTCTGGAATGTAGGCCTTCAGACTTTAACCAGTTAACCTCTTACACATTTCACCAGCTTTACTGCTTTCTGTATTGCATATCCAATGAGTGCCCTGAAATGTGTCAAATGACAAAGAGAATGTGAAGCATTTTCATAGCTCTTGAAAGCTCCACATTGCAGCTTTGGGGAAGACAAGGAATAATTCTAATACCACAGATACTTGCATTCTGGGGAACAGTATTGTGCCCAGGTAAAGAACCAGATTTTGCAGCTTCCTTCGGAGATAGGGGTGGCTAGCAAGCTGTAAGTGGTTGTTGTTGGCTGGTCTTCTGGGGAATATTCTTAAAGAAAATTGACTCGGCTGAGAGGTAGGCGACCTTTCATTCTTCCCTTTCCTCCTTTTCCTGGGTGAAATGTGTATGTGACGGCTGGAGCTCCAACATTTCCCTTGTGAATAGGAGGTGACTTTGGGGCTGCAGACCTCCAGGATGACGGCCTACCTAGAGAAAAACAATCTAGATCTCTTTTGCTCTAGGTGTCTTCAGTGTTCACCCGTACAGCCATGGACTGATTTCTCTAAGCTTCTCTTAGATCATAGGAAAATAATAAGCGTAAATCCTGTTCAAACCTCTGCTGCTTCTAATCTCTGTTACTAGAAGTGGAAACAAATCTAAACTGATACAAGCCCCTGATACTTTGATGGGTGCTATGCTAGGTACTCTACCTACCCGATCCCATTTCCTCATGACATAGGTAGAAACTATTTTACATAAGAACAATTGAGGTCTACAGGAGTCACATAACTAGACAAGTGGCAGAGGTAGAGTTTGAACCCAGGACTACAGTTTCCCCAAACCACTGCTGTTTCCATAAGGTCGTCTCAGGGACAGGATAGAATATTTGTCATAGGACAATTAAAAAGAGAATGCATAGGCCAGGTGTTTGTGGCTCATGCCTGTAATCCCAGCACTTTAGGAGGCTGAGGTGGGTGGATCACCTGAGGTTAGGAGTTTGAGACCAGCCTGGCCAACATGGTGAAACCCTGTCTCTACTAAAAAAAAAAAAAAAAAATTAGCCGACCGTGGTGATGTGTGCCTGTACTCCCAGCTAATCAAAAGGCTGAGGCAGGATAACTGCTTGAACCCTGGGAGGTGGAGGTTGCAGTGAGCTGAGATCATGCCACTCCATTCCAGCCTGGGGTACAGAGTGAGACTCTGTTTCAAAAAAAAAAAAAAAAAAAGACAAAAAGAAAAAGAAAAGAGAATGCATCAAAGCATGGGGAGAGGCATAAAGGTGGTGAGTTCTTGGGATTTAAGGAACCCTAATTTCAAGTGGAAGAGTCCCATCAACAAACTTGCAGCAATTGGGAAGAACAGTCAAGAAGGCAAAGGCTGAGTAGTAGGATTTTTTAAAAACAGGTCCAAAAGTTAATGTCATCTGAATTATTGAGAATTGGAGTCATCATTCTCAGAGCAAAACACACAGTGTGGATCAGAAAGAGAGATCATCTCCTCTGCCAGTAGAAGCTTGGTCACATTGGGTTGCTTTATCTGGGACAGCAATGGAAGGCCACCATCATTCTTAAACCTATGGGTTTCAGATTTTGGTTCAAGACCACTCCACCATTTTGTTAGGCAGAATGAATGATGTGGCAACAATGAGGAAGGCTTTTCAGGGTTTTGGAGGCAACTGCTGGGGACTTCCCATCATGCCTATTTATTTCCATCCCCTTAGCCATCCTTATTTTATCCTCTTTCCCTTTCCTTATTTTTTTTTCCTTTTTGCTCATATCATAGGGCCCCAGTGCATTTATTAATTACTGAACATTGACTGTCAGCTAATGCCAGGCGTGGTGTCTGCTCTGGTACACAAGGAGGAAAAACTACAGCAATAGCCACATGTTGAGCCCTTACACAGGCTTAGTGTTCTCAGCACTGCCCTTGTTTCATCTAATTTATACATCAGCACTCTCAGGCAGGCACTGTTATCATCCCCATTTTACACACAAGGTGTAGATGGCCTTAAGTGACTTGCTGAATTTAGATAAATACGAAGTGATAGAGCCAGGATCCCCACACAGAGCTTGCTGTCTTAACCTCCAGGTTGTGTGCCTCTAGGATTGAGGGGTGTTGGACCATGGGCTTTTTATCAAGCGTGCAATTCTAAACCACCTGGGAAGCTCTCTTAACGCACTGCTGCTTGGCTGGCTCCACACCTGCTGACTCAGCTCCTTAGGGAACAGGGGCTTGGGGCTTTTTGAGTTTGTTTTTCTTTTTTTTTTTGAGACAGGGTCCCACTCTACATCCGGGCTGGAGTGCGGTGGCGCGATCTCAGCTCACTGCAACCTCTGCTTCCCAGGTTCAAGTGATTCTCATGTCTCTGCCTCCGGAGTAGCTGGGACTACAGATGTGCACCACCATGCCCATTTGTATTTTTTAAGTAGAGATGGAATTTCACCATGTTGGCTAGGCTGGTCTCAAACTCCTGACCACAAGTGATCTGCCTGCCTTGGTCTCTCAAAGTGCTTGGATTATAGGCATGAGTCACTGGGCCCAGCTGGGGCTTGTTGATTTTTTTTTTGTTTTTGTTTTGAGACGGAGTCTTGCTCTGTCTCCCAGGCTGGAGTACAGTGGCGCGATTTTGGCTCACTGCAACCTTTGCCTCCTGGGTTCCAGTGATTCTTCTGCCTCAGCCTACTGAGTAGCTGAGACTACAGGTACGTACCACCACGCCCAGGTAATTGTTTGTATTTTTAGTAAAGATGGGGTTTCACCTTGTTAGCCAGGATGGTCACCATCTCCTGGTCTCGTGATCTGCCTGCCTTGGCCTCCCAACATGCTGGGATTACAGGTGTGAGCCACTACGCCT